CATCGAACCGACACATGTACTTTTGAAAGATGACTACACTTATGAGGAAATACCTATCCAGATTGTGAATCGCCGGATCAAAAGGTTGAGAAATAAAGAAATATCGTTGGTAAAAGTTGATTGGCAAAACCACGGAGGAACCTATGCAACTTGGGAAACTAAGGAAGACATGATGAAGAGATATCCGAAATTGTTCCCATTGGACCCAATGTTGATTCAGAATGAAGGTAATTCGAGTTTGGAGGACCAAACTCTTTTAGGGGGGAAAGACTGTAATGACCCCGACCTCCGATTAATGCTAATTCATGATTAATTATTCTTAACAGTAATTTAGGAAGGATTTGGGATTTATTTGCATGTGTATTGCATTATTTATGTGTTTTTATCTGTTTGCCAAAAAATGATCTGTTCATGTCTTTGACTTTAAATTGCGAATTGAAAGGCTTATCGGCGTCTGAATCAGAAATTGACTTGATTTATGTGCTAGTTAGGATTTATAGAATTTTATGGTAGGTTTAATTAAAATTCAGTTCGGAGCGATTAAATTAGATTAAATCATGTTAATTTATACTTGTTTGAGTTATTACACAAATGCCACTTAGTGACTTATTTGAGACCAACTTCATTACACTCTCCTTAGCCATTTTTCTTGTCCAAACCGTGGGATAGAGGGAGAGTGAGAGAAACTTGAATCCATCTAGAGATTGGGCTTGGAACATAGGAGAATTGAAGGAGGATTGCATGTTTAAGCTCCCACACTTGAAATTGAAGACCTAAAGGTAGTGAATTCGTCCTTTTATTTGTGAATGGGGGTTGTTCTTTCTAGGTTCTTGGTGAAATTGGTAGCTGAAGTCAAGATTTAGCTCAAAGTGTGGTTTTGAGAGTCCATTCATACATGCATGCATAAATTTCCATGTTTTGAGTTTGAATTCTAAGATTTCTTCTATGCATGTATTAATTTCACTCACATTGTGGCCATTTATCTTATTGTCCATCAAATTATCAAGTTTGATAATGTTTTGGAGGGTTTGGTTTCAAGGAGATTCTTGCATGTTACATTCAAGTTTTGTTCTTGAGATTTCATTTGAAATTGTGTTCAATTGACTCACCCTTGGGCTTTGATTTTACAAATTGATCTTTGAAACACCTTATACTATGAGTTTATAAGTGTTTTCCAGAAAATGGGCCCAAGAGGTTGAGTTTTGAGGTGTTGAATACTTGGTTTGAGCTTGGGAGGAAAATCTGTAAATTCTAGAATTTGGCTTCCTCGCTCGAGCGAAAGATTCCACACTCGAGCAACCATCGTTTTTTCAGAGCTACGCTCGAGTGAAGGAATGATGACTTGAGCGTAAATTGCAAGCTCTCAGGTTTTTGGTGCATGCAGACGCATGCTCGAGCAACGAGACCTACGCTCGAGCGAAGAGCTATGTCTCACACTCGAGCGAGCGTCGAGCGGGCATCGAGCATAAAATTTCAACAACCAGTACTTTTGCATTTTTACAGACCGCTCAAGTGAAGGAGTCTACGCTTGAGCGACCCCTCTATTTTGACAAGCTCGCTCGAGCGAAGAAAGCCACGCTCGAGCGAGACCCCTATTTTCAGCAAGTTTTGAAAAATGTTTTCCAAGGCACCTTTGCATCCTCATTCCATCCTAGGCATTCCTAGGCCATGTTTTAGACCCCATAATGAGGATAAGAAATTAGAAACACACTAAGGGCCAATAAAATAAGTTTTGTGCAATTAGATCGTGTGTTTCAAGTGTGCATCTGTTATGTGTTATGTAGTTCATGTGCCACGTACTGTTTGACCAAGTTTACTCCGTCTGTCTGACTCAAGGCCTACTGTGAGTAATAACTCTGTAAAGTTATGTTTAACCTAAGTATTTTCTGACTGGTATGGTATAATCTGTTTTCTGAAATGCTATCTTACTAATGATGAATAAATGTCCAATTTTCTGAAAAGTATTTGTGGCACCCTTAGTTCACGTGGCCCTCGCCGGGGGTAACAATACCACGGCCAATCTGCACGTGGCCCTTGCTTGGGGGTAACAATACCATGGCTACTTGCCCGCAAGATATGGACCTTTGTGGTCGTTGGTACCAACTATATATGTGGGTCTCTGGACCAATCTGATCTGATAGCTAATGGGTGTACCACGTATGATCTTATGCAAAATCTGAATATGAAAATGTATATGAATTTGATTCTGTTTGAAGTCTGATTATGCTCTGATTTAAATGCTGGACATCATTCATATAACCCCTTTACTTTGTTATTATTCACTGGGCTTTCGCTCACAGTTTATATTATGTATGTAGGTGAGCCGGCACATGACCAGGGCCAGAGTTGACGGCCTTCTGTATTGTTTTGTCAGCCAACCTTTGTGCCTCCCAGGGAGGTTCCGATCGAAGTTTACTGCCATGGCTGTTTTTGTATTTCATGCTAGTCTTTGTATATGTTCTGTATAGTCAGATCTTGGGAAGTTCACTTTTGTAATTATTTTGTAAATATTGGTGTCCTTGACTGGCATGTTTATGTATATATAAATAAGTTTTAAAATGTTCTATCCCATATACGTTATCACAGCTCGTTGGACCTTGTCTATTTTGTATTATTGCTTTCGCAGCCCCTTATTATTTGTTAATCTGTTCAGAAGCCTTTGGTAATCCACGGATTACTGGCCGATTACGGTGATAAACCTACAGGGGCGGGTTTGGATCATGACAAGAATGAGTCCAAAAGAGAATGAGATCCTGCGGGAGAAAGTCGAAAAATTGCTACGAAAGGGACTTATTCGTGAAAGCCTAAGTCCATGTGCTGTTTCGGTATTATTAACACCAAAGAAAGATAGAAGTTGGCAAATGTGTGTAGACAGCCGAGCCATCAACAAGATTACCATCAAGTATAGATTTCCCATTCCTAGACTAGATGATATGTTGGACATGCTGGAAGGATCAAAGTGGTTTTCAAAGATCGATCTGCAAAGTGGGTACCATCAAATTTGAATTCATCCTGGGGATGAATGGAAAACAGCATTCAAGACTAAGGATGGTTTGTATGAATAGTTGGTTATGCCATTCGGCCTTTCTAATGCTCCTAGCACCTTCATGCGAGTTATGCATCAGGTATTACGACCTTTCACTGGGAAATTTGTTGTGGTTTATTTTGATGACATATTAATCTACAGTAAATCAGAGGAGGACCACATGGCCCATTTACGAGAGGTGTTGACAGCATTGGAGGTAAGCAAGTTGTACATTAACCTTAAGAAGTGCAGTTTCCTTACAAGTAGTTTGTTGTTCTTGGGTTATGTGGTTAGTTCAGATGGTATTCATGTGGATCAAGAGAAGGTTCGAGCCATCCAAGAGTGTCCAACACCTAAGACTGTTAGTGATGTTCGAAGTTTCCATGAGTTGGCTACATTTTATAGGCGTTTCATTCGAAGTTTCAGCACTATTGTGGCACCAATAACAGAGTGCATGAAGAAAGGAAAATTCCTGTGGGGTGATGATGAAGAAAAGAGCTTCTTGTTAATCAAAGAGAAGTTGTGCATTGCACCAGTGCTAGCTTTGCCCAGTTTTGAGAAGATTTTTGAGGTAGAGTGTGATGCCAGTGGTGTGGGCATTGGGGCTGTCCTATCTCAAGAACATAAACCAGTGGCCTTTTTCAGTGAAAAATTAAGTGAAGCTCGACAAAAGTGGAGCACTTACGACTAAGAATTTTATGCAGCGGTTCGAGCTTTGAAGCATTGGGAACATTACCTGATACAGAGAGAGTTTGTGTTGTATACTGATTATCAAACCTTAAAGTTTATCAATGGCTAGAAGCACCTAGATAACATGCATGTAAGATGGTCTACTTTCCTTCAGAAATTTTCTTTTACTATTCGCCACAAATCAGGGGTTTTGAATCGAGTCGCGGATGCCTTGAGTCGACAGGCTAGTTTATTAGTCACGTTGACACATGAGATTGTGGGGTTTGAGTTCCTGAAAGAACTTTATCCTGATGATGATGACTTCAAGGAGATATGGGCAAAGTGTATTCAAAGGCAACCAGTAACTAATTTCTACATTACTGATGCCTATCTATTTCGAGGAAATTGCTTATGCATTCCCCGTAGCTCTTTGCAAGAGAAACTAATTTGGGATCTCCATGGTAGTAGCTTAAGTGGACATTTGTGCAGGGACAAGACTATCGTAAGTATGGAAGAACGATATTTCTGGCCTTAGTTGAAGCGAGATGTTGGCAATTTTGTAAGGAAGTGCTACATTTGTCAAGTATCCAAAGGGCAGTCTCAAAATACTGGCCTCTATATGCCTCTACCTGTTCCTAACAGCATATCAGAAGATTTGTCGATGGACTTTGTGTTGGGACTCCCTTGTACCCAACGTGGAGTTGTTTCCGTGTTCGTAGTGGTTGCTAGGTTTTCAAAGATGGCACATTTTATTCCTTGTCGAAAGACTTCAGACGCCTCTCATGTGGCTCGATTATTCTTTCGAGAAGTAGTTCATTTGCATGGAGTCCCTCAATCCATTACCTCAGATCGTGATGTCAAGTTCCTTAGCCACTTCTGGGTAACTTTGTGGAAGATATTTAACATAGCCTTGAATCGTGGTTCAACCGCACATCCTCAAACAGATGGTCAAACAGAGGTGACTAATAGGACTTTGGGCAATTTGGTTCGCAGCATTTATGGAGACAAGCCAAAGCAATGGGACCTTGCTTTGCCTCAAGCAGAATTTGCATATAATAGTGCAGTTCACAGTGCCACAGGAAAGTCACCATTCTCTTTGGTGTATGTCACGCCTCCAAAACATGCAGTTGATTTACTCCGTTTGCCTTGGGGTCCAAGAGTGAGTACGACCGCCGAAACCATGGCCAAACAAGCCCAAGCAGTACAAGAAGAAGTATGATAGAAGCTGGAGGAAACAAATACCAAATATAAGGTAGCTGCAGACAACCATCGGCACTCAAAACTGTTTAAGGAAGGAGATTCAGTAATGGTGTTTTTGCGCAAAAATAGATTTCCAGTTGGCACATACAACAAATTGAAGCCTCGCAAGTATGGTCCATATAGGGTGTTGAAGAAAATCAATAACAATGCTTATGTGATTGAGCTACCAGACGACATGAAGATTTCCAAGACTTTTAATGTAGCTGATTTATATGAGTATCATGTTGAAGAACCCCCCTATCCAGAATCGAACTCGAGGTTGAGTTCTCTCCAAGAAGAAGGGACTGATGTAGAACAAGTAGCCGAAGACTTCTTGGAACAATTGGACTGACAAAAGGCAAGAAAGATGCAGAACAAAATTCTATAATTTTTATATTTCTTAATTTTATTATTTAGAATTAGGTTTTTGACTAGAATTTTAAATAGTTTAGAATTTTTAGTCTCTTAGGTTTCTTAGTTCTCTTAGGTTTCTTAATTTGTGTTGATTTAAGTTTTCTAGTTTATTTTGGAATCACTTTTCCTACAAGTATTAGGTTTAGTTTATTATAAATAAGTCTACAAGCATATGTAATTCATTCATTCAATAATATTTTTAAGAGCTTTTCTTCTATCTTCCTTGTGGATTCAAGGGTGTTCTTGTGGATTCAAGAATTCTCGTCAACTAGAACGATATCTTGTCTCGTGTGATTTATTCCGCTGCGTCAGCTTCGTACGGTGAATTTGCAGATCTGTTAGAAGCACGCCCTGCTCAAGATCTCACAACCAATACAACACTTGAATCTAATAATCACGCATTTAGTCGAGCAATTGAAAGGTACCGACCTGATAATGACATATTTGTTGGACGCGAAGATGCTGAACAAGAGATTGTAGCACGATTGATCAACAACAACGAGAAGAGCCTCCGCGTGATTTCACTAGTCAGCGAAGAAGCAATCGGAAAGACAACTCTGGCAAGAAAAGTTTACAACAAACTAGACATTCGGCAGCATTTCCAATGCCGTGCTTGGATCCATGTTCCGAAAGAATTTTCATACAAAGATGTATTGCTTGTCATACTCAGACAGACTCCAAATTTATTAAAAGACGTAGACCTAATGAAGGAGAACGAACTCTCAATTTTCCTTTTCGAGATTTTAATGGGGCTCAAGTTTCTAATAGTCTTGGATGATATCTGCACCAATGATGACTGGCTCAAATTTGTGCGTCCCTTCGCAGACGCTGCGAATGGTAGCAGAGTCATAATCACTACTCGTGACTCTAAGGTTGCATCGGAGGTAGATCTGTGGAGTCATCCTCTCAATTTGATGCACTTAACAGAAGAGGATACTTGGGCATTGTTCTCGAACAAAGCGGGACCAGAAAATAGGTCACAGAATAATTCAAACAATGTCAAGGCTGAAATTCTGAGGCTATGTCGCGGTTTGCCTATGGCAATTGTCTTGTTGGGAGGCTTGTTGTCGCCTGTAGAATTAAGCGAGTGGTCAACGGTCATTGATCATCTCCTTGCTCGATATCATCATCATTTCTTAAAATGTATTGTTGATTTGAGCTATGAAAAATTGCCATTTGGATTGAAGCTTCGTTTTCTTTATTTGGCTATGTTTCCTAAATCATATGAGATTCCAACGCGGAGGCTATTGCAGTTGTGGGTTGCTGAGGGTTTGTTCAAACAACGAATAAACCAAGCATCGACTCTCAAGATATGGTCATGACATGTTTAGAAGAACAAGAGCGTAGAAACATGATTGAAATTGCCGAAAGGAAATCAGACGGAAGCCCCAAGACATGTCGTATGTCGTGTTTCCTCTACAATATCTTCTTACCAAAAGCGGAGGATATAGGATTTCTTCACGTCCACCGTCTCAATTCAGATTGCACACTTGCAGATTCACATATTATTCGGAGGATTGCAGATCAGTTTTTTGGGGTTAAGTCTACTTCGGAATCTCATACTCAAAATCTATGTTCTTATGTTTCTTTCGAAGCCCAAAAGCAAGTTACATCCAACACAAAAATTGGTAAGTTGCTTAATTCACTAGTCAATAAGGGGAAAAGTTTTGTTCCTTTGAAGGTGCTTGATCTAGAGGGTGTCTACAAACCTTCGCTACCCGAGAAACTCTGCCAGTACTTGAAGAACCTAAGGTACATAGGCTTGCGATGGACCGGCCTACACACGTTTCCAGAGTCTATTGGGGATTTGCAATGCCTAGAGACTTTAGATTTGAAGTATAATAATATAACCGCTTTGCCAAGTTCAATTTGGATGGCAAAGAGCCTTCGGCATCTCTATATGACCAAGGTGTCCATTTGAAAGCCATCATCGAAAGAGTTGTTGACTTTAACATCCAAACTTGAGACCTTAACGGGGCTCATGATTGCTTTTGAAGAGGAATCTGATGAAGAAAATGACAACTATCGCTTGGACCGGTTCACAGGCCTAAGGAAATTAGGACTCATTTGCCATTCTAAATCGGTAGAGAAAATAGTCAAGTGCCTTTCGCGAGTCGACAAACTTGAAGCCTTGAAATTGAGATCAAGAGACCTTCCATTCGGTCAGCCTTCGGACCTCGTGTTGAGTCCTCTAAAAGACCATTAGACTCAGTCAAAATTGCATTTGTTTGGACTGATAAAAGATGGGATACACAATCTTCCTCTCAATCTCAAAACCCTAACATTGTTGATGTCGGAACTAAGAAAAGATCCGATGCATGTGCTAGGGAAGCTGTCTCAGCTAAACATCCTCAACCTTTTAGCACGCGCCTATGTTGGGGAGGAAATAAGATGTCTTTCTGGGGAATTTCGCAAACTCCGCGTCTTGAAATTGTGGATGCTGGAAAATCTAATGCAGTGGACAGTGAGGAAAACGTGGAGGGGTTAAAGAGCTGCCTGAATTGAAAGAATTGATTTTGACAAACATGCCACAAGAGTTTGTAGCAGATTTGAGAGAAAAGTTGGACAGAGACATAGTAGTCACCAACGAGTGGAAGTCTTTCTCTCTTGCCTGAAATAAAAAAAAAAAATTAATCTAGCACAATCAATTTGTTTAGAAACACCAATTTGTTTACTGAAACAATAAAAAATTAATCTAGCACAATCATAATATTTTCTAATAAAAATCACAATATGTTGTAATTTTTTCAAAAAAAAAAAAAAATTTATTTGTGACATATATTTACGTTTTTAATGTAAGATTAGTGCTCACGGAGGCTGGAGGCAAATCTAAATTGCCAGTCCCTGATGAACCGCTTAGAAGTGAAGACAATCAATCACATTTATAGAGAAGAAAATACTTGTGCCGGCAACCTAGCAAATCAAGAAATTCCTGTTAATGAAGAAATTCATATTTTCAACATCCCCCTCCTTGTATTTGTAATCAAATGTTTGATGAAGCTAGGATGGTCTACTATCCTGTAACCATTTACTTTTTCATCCATAATATTACTGCTCTATTGTTACCAAAAAAGAAAAAGAATGTCCATTTCGCAGCTTGCTGTATTACTACTCTTCACATCACTGTGCTTTTCTATGTAAAATAAAGTTGCAACTCTGTTTCAATTTGTGTTTGGCTTGATTAAATAAATGAAAATATTATATACAAAGGGGAGAATAAGCTAGCTTATTGATTTATTAACTTATTTAGATATGATTAACTCTCTATTTTTTATATATATATTTTTATAATAAGTCAAAAAATCAGCTTATAAGTTACTTCTCAAAATAACCCAAACAAAATATTCTACTAAATCAAATAGTTCAACATAGACCCATAATAATAGCATAGAGAAGGGAGTGCATTATACTAATTTTGTTACTGTACTTTATCTATTACAATGATATATATGCAATTGCCTCAGAGTTTTCCCAGGCATATATATATATATATTAGTTTAAAAAGGCTGGTGCAAAGTACAGATTATTATTACAGTGCGTTTAAATTTTATATTTTGATAATTTTTTAAAAATTGAAATATTGTACAATGAATGTAACGCCCTCAAAATAATAACATTAAACCCATCAATATAGACATGAATTGGTAATAAAGATAAACATTCTTCTATTCATCAGAGTAGTTTCTTACAAAAGTATTACATGTTAACAACAAAAGCAAATGCCCTACGGGCTTACAGCTTTCCAAGTTAATACTTGGTTACAACAAAAGAGTGCTAACTCATTTACACATTAAGCCCTTGGCTTGAATATACATGTAATACATCAAAGAAATAAAACGACAAAAGTCCGCCTGCCTCTAGCCTCCCAAGCTACGTCCTTGGAGGTGGCATGCTACCTGTACCAGAAAATGATATTCTCATATAGGGTGAGCCACAGCCCAGCAGAGATATACTAAACCAACTATGAACGATGACTAAAATATTAGCAATTGATAGATGGCCAATGTCGATACATCCACATATATCTCATCACAGTTTCGTAACATACAAGTCTATGTTATCTTTCATTCTCCACCTTTATTTAGTAGATAAGCATATTAGCTATAGCAACATATCAATAGATAAACATATCACGCATCAACAGATAAGCATATAAGCTATATCCACACTTCACTAGACAAGCATATGAGCTGTATCTACACTTCTCAAAGATAAGCCTATGAGCTGTACCTTTACTTCTCTAGACAAGCATATGAGCTGTATCTACGGAGTTCATCCCCCATCTCCTCCCAACACTATCCAGTTTAGAGGTACATCCTCCATCTTCCCCTAAACCGCGGAGTACATCCCCCATCTCTTCCTCTATACACAATGCATATAAACACAAAGGTTCTTTACACAATCAATCAATATATAAAATTAATGTATTCAATCCACCGTCATACTCTATGACACATTCAATCGATTAGGTTTAGTTTGCCTAATGATCATGCATTGTCTACAACAATCAAGACTATCCTCCACCGATAGCCCAAAGCAGTTATTTCTATACAGAATATAAATGCAACAATTGATATATAATCAACATTCCAACTCGGTGAGTGATAAATAATCCAACTACACCCTTTTATCCCATGACTTCCCAAATCAATTCCTCATTTCTCATAATTAATTATGCAAATTAATTAACCAATGTAATTAGGGCATTTTCCATAATTTACATTACAACCCTTAGGTTCCATTTTCATTAATGTCTTAACATTAATTTCACATTTTCCATGCCAAACATGCATCTAGGTTTGATATAGTTAAAACCCCAACTCTTGTAAATTTACACAAAAGCCCCCAAACTTTCACAAATTGCTAAACCAACCCCAACATCTCAAAATACTAAAATTTAAAGACAAAGCTCATAAAGAGGAGTAGGATATCCCTACCTCAAAGTTTGAGCTCCAATGGAGATGAAGACCAAAACCAAAATGCTTCAAATTCTGAAATTTTTCGATTAAAATGTAGCTCTCGACGATCAACACAACTTTCGTAAAGACCAAAAGTGAGCAAACAACTCCTACTAGATCAAATCTAAGAGAGAAGGGCCGGTTTTAGAGTGAGAAGCTCTGAAAATGGCTTTTTGGAAAAGTAAGAGAGAGAAAAGTTCTTGAAAAAGTGATACAAAAGTCGAATCTCGCTTTTAAATAAGAGTCGCCCCGCTCGAGCGTCAAACTCCCCGCTCGAGCGGCACTCACAGACTTCCGCTCGAGCGGCCAATCCCCCGCTCGAGCTCCGGATGCACACTCCCAGCACTTTTGCAGACAGGTCTCCCGCTCGACTTTCCAACTCCCCGCTCGAGCGGCACTCACACAAACCCGCTCGAGCGGCCAATCCCACGCTCGAGCGTCGAATACAGCACAGGAAATACTGGATGGGTGAAACTCCCGCTCGAGCGCCAAAACCCCCCGCTCGAGCAGACAGGTCAAAATCTGGGCAACTAGTTTTGGTTTCTATTCTCAACCAACCTGTAATAAACCTGCCCAACACATCCTATAATTCAAATACAAAGTAAGAAAGGATGTACACCAGGTAATAATCAACTACTATCATCCACGGACACATGTCCGGATCACTGTACAATAAGGGTAAACCCGGGATCGCTATAACGAAATTGAATAGAATTAGGGGTGTTCGCGGTTTAGTTGCAGCCTAAAGGAACCTCCAATTTGCCATCCTTCTGAAACTAGGCGGATTGGAGAAAATCAATCTACAACTGTTCGTTGAATTGGTGGATACAGATTGAATGGATTAGTAGATGGATACGAATCGGTTTGACGATTTATATTTTTACAAATTTTTAACATAATCAAATCCATCCACATAATTTTTTTTATTTTTTTTTGATAACAATCAAATCTGTATTTTACATATATGATAACAATCCAATCTATAATCCAGCAAATAATTTTAAAGCCCATCCTTGAAAAGCTAGCAGCCCTGCAAGTGTAAGCCACGAAACATGCAACAAAATTCTAAATAGGGTGATATAATCACAAGCCCACTAAAAAAAATGAGTCCAAAATGCGTGCACACGGGCACGCAAACCGAGACAGTGGTAAAATGCTATGAAAATGAGGTGCCTTGAAATGCGTGCACACGGGCACGCAAACCGAGGCGATGGCATAATGCTATGAAAATGAGGTGCCTCGAAATGCGTGCACACGGGCACGTAAACCGAGGCAGTGGTAAAATGCTATGAAAATGAGGTGCCTTGAAATGCGTGCACACGGGCACGCAAACCGAGGCGATGGCATACACAATGCAATGAAAA